GTGGGATAGTTCACAGAAAGAACAGACCAGAAAAGGATGCTATAGAAAAAGCAGAACAGAAGCAGGAAGTGAAAGTGCAGCAGTAAATAACAGGATTGAGTAGGACTACCACAAACACCGCTAAGCAAATATTATCCTACTTGAAAGGAAACTGTAATATTCTTGGGGATGTGTGCACAGAAAATATTCTCTGGTTGCTTGATCGTGTCTAACTGGGAGCAACAGTGGAGCTATGCATTTTTCAAGGGAGGGAGACTAGTTTTGACAAAGTGGGATGTGATGTCTGATTCCAGACAACCCCTGATGTCTGGAATAAACATTAAAAAAAATCATGGTCTCAGAGGAAAAGAGAGCAGACCCTTTCAGACAGACAGAACTGATGGAGTACGTTGCATTTTTAGATTCATAAAATGTGGTGGCTGGCCAGTTGGCTACTTCATGTGTGGAAAGGAGGCCAAGTTGCTCCTTCCTTTCTTTCAGTAAAGGTACAAATCTGAACCTGTTCCTTCTAGCCTCCTGACAGTTTTATTTACAGTGCAACCTGAAGGAAGTGAGTATAGGTACAACCTGTCATGCTTGGTTGTAAATCAGTAGGTTTACAAGCTATCGAAAAGATTGATAGAGGAAATAATTGTGTGTTTTGTTTCCTTAAACTCTATAATCTTAAAAATAACTTAGATGCTATTAAATAACTTATTAGTGATAGATTAAGTGACTCTAGTCACCTGAGCAGCTGTTCTTTTATCAGAATATATGTAATAAATTTAAGATCTTTTTTGGCACACATTAGTGACTGAATGTTGGAGATGAAGTGAAGATAAAAATCTGACTTACAGTGTACAAGTGGTTATAAAATTCCAGTTCTAAAATAACAATCCTTGATCAAAGGAGCAAGGTTGCAGAGCAGACTGATTAGAAACTGAAACATTAATTATAGCTAAGGATCAAGCATACCTCTTATCTACACTTAAGTAAAAAGTAATAAAGAAGCAAAGACTTGTCTTAAGGCCAAGCCTCCTGAATTACTACTGACAAAGCCTAAGGACTTTTAACACCAAGGCATTTTAGTGCATCATCAAGCATTTGTGCTGATCTAACCACCAAGCCCAGTTCATTTGAAAAATAGTGTGAGAATGCATATGAAGGCCTAACTGAAATGAATATACAGCATGTTGTATTGTGTACAACACAGCATGTTGTATTGCGTACAACATGCATAAACTGAATTACAACTGTTGATCTCTGACACCCCTGCTAGAAGTAGGTGGGATGCTTACTCTGCGACTAGTCAGCTTGTGAGTCACTGCTCCACCGAGAGCCGTAATACAACTGCAAACCTTATACATTAGGACATGTAAGAACAAATAATCTGCAATTTATCTACACATAAGTAATAGCAGGTTCTTAGCTGACACTCTCTGATTTGGTCACTGCCTCTAACTATTCTGTTCTGGTAGTTAAGAACTTTCCAGGAAAGATTGAAAAGATTAAGTGTCTTGGGCTAAAGAGCTGAGTAGCGGGGGAAGGTCAAGGTTTGTGCCCTCACCGATGAAAAGACAGATGAAGTAGTGGTCAGTTGGGTCACCCATCTTTAAGATTGTAAGGAAACAAAGGAATAAGATACGATACATAGAGCAACACTTCTAAAAGTGACAAAACCACAACATGGCTGGCCGTCAGCACAGTTTAACACAGCCCAGTACTGCAGGGTTTGGAAGGATTACGTATGTAAAATGCTAGGGATGATAGTTTCTCCATTAGAACGAAAGTAAACATATGGTACAAAGTTTTCAGGCTTGCAAATTTCCCCGACCTTCAGCTGGCAGGGTTCAATAGGGCCAGGATTTTCCGAAAACTGTTCCCTAGGTTTTCTTGCATTTTTATCAGAAACCTCTAAGACCAGAGTCTGTTGGAGCTAATACGTCACATCAGAGTAAACAAACTAGTGCAATGAAAACATTTATATTTAATGTAAACCCATCTCCAGTCTTTGATAATTAAGACCTAACCCAAGAAAGCCCCCACAAACTCCTAAAGAATACGATTAATTCTTGAGATGGAAGCCTTTCACAAGGTTATTTGTACAGAGATGTAGAATTTCCATGCAAAAGATTAAGAAATATATGGAAGTTCAACTCTTATATAACTTAACTGTTTCAGCCAAAGGCAATTTAAGTTTACTGTAACAGCGAGCTTTCTCATTTTCCTGTCTTCCATCCTCTCCTCTTTTAAGTCTGCAATTATGCTATTCCCCTAAGTACGCTAATATATCCTTTTATTGCCTATTCTTTCTACTTTCCGATTGAACAAAATGGTCAAAAACCTTGAGAAAAATTTAATGTGTTCTGCTTTCATACACTCAAATGATACAAATCAAAGAGTCTAAAGAGGTCTAAATGCCATGCTGCTGGAAAAATCAAGTTTTATGTAGAATTTATCTCATTTCTCTCTTAGATAACTTGGGATAACTCATCTGGACTTGAGCTCAAAGAGCTTTGACTTGACCCCCTGTCTCTGTTAGTCAACCTGAGCTTAGCATCTGACGCTACAGCTCGGTGCCAAGGTAGATATACGATGGTAGTGTTACCAGTAACTGAAAACTTGTAATTCTCGTGCCAAAGCCCTTTGTCTCCCGCCTTCCCAAATCCTGCCCTTGCAGGTTTCAACAGCACACGGCACACAGAACATGTTCAAGGCTGTCACTGTTCCATGTCTCGTGCTCCTGTAATGCTGCTGAGCATGCCCCAAGTGGAAACTAGTCATTGATTGGTACTTCAACACATTTAGCTGCTGTGCTTTTCATCACATCCTACTAGCAGCTAAGAAAGGGCTCTGACAGGGACTGATTGTGCCTTTGGGAGGCTGTTGGACTGAAAGCAGCAAAGCATTTGAACAAGTGTTTCCTTGTCTGTCTCGATTAAATGGACAAGGTTGCATCACAGCTTTTCTAAATGCTTCAGTCAAGACCAATACTGCTTCTCAGCCCATGGTCAGGTCTGTAATAAGTGAGGGTATGCAGGAGTGGATTTGCATCTGCTTTCCAGCAGAGTGAGCCTTCTGGGTCCGAGTTACAGTCCACTCAGTCCTGTCCACCAGTGGACAAAACTGAGGGAAAGCTGGAGAGCAGAAGGAGCAGGCTGAGATGCATCCCTATGCATCTTCCAGGAGCCTGCAGCTCTGACATTATTAGCAGCAGGGAGGCTGAACCTCCTCTCTTCAGTCATCACCCATAGGTTTCTCCTTCATGAATGCAGAAGGGTAGGGGCATGTCTTTAGTCTCCACAGCATCCCAGAGCAACCAGCTTCACAGAGACTTTCCACACACAGAAATTGTATATTTAACCTTTCTATTCTTGTTGTGCCTCGGAGCAGCAAGGAGGCAAAAGTAGCCTCAGGCAGGGCTGTCCTTGGCCTGAAGCAAAAGAGGCCGTTAGGCAGGTGATGGAAGAGCAGCTGCTTATTTTGTGGCAAAATCCTGGAAAACCAAGCTGTTGGCTCCCTTGCAGCTAGGAGGGAGACAGCAACTGCTGTGGGGGAAAGTCTCTTCCCAACAGTACTTGTTGCCAGTCCCACTTCTTGTCTTTCTTTGGCCACAGCAGAAACAAGAAATTTGACATCCTCTCTTCATTCTTGCACTCCATTCCAGTTCTCTCTGGCCCCTTCTTTCTGCATGGAAGAGGAAACTTGGTCTTGGACCCTGTACTTGGATGTAGCAAAATTCACCTTTTGGTATCTACCCCTGGCAGAAGCAAAACTGAAGCTGGCTCTTCTGCCTTGATGCTCTAGGTGGTGTTGCCTCAAGGCAGATGTTTGATCTGCTTTGGCAATGTGTTGCAGAGCAGGTGCAGCGTTCAAAGCAGTGGGCTGGCTTGCTCAGTTGCAGTTTTCCTGTGAGTGGATCAGATGTTCCTGTCTCAGCAGAGCAATGTCTACGAAAATGGTGGGAAAACATTGTTGCCATGTGTCATGAACAACCCTCAGCCATCACTGCTTTGAACTGCCTCCTCCTTATGCAAAATGTGGCAACAATGAGACTTTTTCAGTCCAGTTTTGGTGATAGGTCAGATGACTTAAGTGGAATTTTTTTTTTTTTTTTTTTTTTTTTTTTTTGTTTTGTTTGTTCATTTTCATTTTTTTTTTTTTTTTTTTTTTTTGCTTAGTTTGGCCTATCTGCATTTTGCTTGTTCATTGGCTAATGGAAAACAGGGCTGTACTAAAAAAAAATGTTCTGAGTTTCGGTAGAGATGAGTAAACTTAACTGCAGTATGGACTACGAAATGGTTGTTATTTGGACATATCAAGAGATTTCTTTAATTTGTCTTAGACTGAAGCAGTAAAGTCTAAATATTTGCACTGAATCATCTGTTGGTTCTTGATCAGATTATACAACGAGTGTCCACGATTGGGAATTTGGGTCGGTAGATCCTCCCTAACTACCACCTTTTGGATGGTGATATTGAGAATGATGAGTTAGTATGGAGAGAAGGAAGACACATATGAATTCTTCCTTTCTGCTCTACTGAAAGCTCTCCTGAGTCATGAGATACTCAAACAGGTTCTGGTCAGATAGATAGATGGCTAACCAGCTCTGCTACACCAAAAAGCTCTTTTCCATTCAAGGAAGGGATTTTATCAAATAACTGCTGAGGAAAGCTATTACACAGAGTCTAGGTAAGAAGTTCTGAAATCACTTTGATGCCAAATGCATTTATCTGTGCTTTCTGAGGACTCTTGTACTTACTCTCCCAGTGGTGTTTCTGCTTAGTTTCTCTTTCAAGTCTAATTCAATATTTGTGAAGTAAAAGTGGAGAGCACATTTTATTCAGAAGTTGGAGCTTCTGATGTTTGGAAGCGAACTGAAGTGGAAGCAAACTGATGTTTGCAGAGGGTGAAGGATAGTTAGACTGGATGAACTTCTTGTACCTCACTGACTCTCTAGCATGGCAACAGACACAAGCAGGAAGCTGGAACTATGTTTATTCTTTTTCTTCCCCTGCTAGACTCCCAAAGGTACCTGTCTAGAATCGGTGAAGATTGCTATTGATACTGGTTACCGCCATATAGATGGTGCCTTTGTCTATTTCAATGAGCACGAAGTGGGACAAGCCATCCGGGAGAAGATTGCAGAAGGAAGGATCAAGCGAGAAGACATCTTTTACTGTGGCAAGGTAAGAATTGCACTCAGTTTATTTATACTAAATCCAAGATTTCTGTGAATGTACTTTCCTAAGAATGGCAGAGGTTGACATCTGACATGCTTCTAAGCCAAACAGCCTTTATTTTCCTTTCCTAGTATTTCCATAATGTCTCAGAACATTAGGAGCATGCACCGTTTGTTGTGTAACTCAGCAGTCACTGTTGTTCTCAGTTTATAGCTCATTTAGCAGTGGGAACCATGCAACACGCATTCTGCCTGGTATCGTAGGTACCTGCATATTTAGATCATTGTGAGGCTCAGCAGTGCTATTACTGTCCCACATGCTGTGCGGGCACCAGCATTTGTATACTCACACAATGAGCCTGGTCTGAACAATGATCCTGAAAATGAGTTATTTTCTGTTAGAACAATTCCCCATGTAGATTTGCCATGAGATTGCACAACGAAAGGGGTAGGAATAAGCACGTGTGTGTAAATGCATGTGTGCTGGAGAACAGCAAGTGCTTAAGTTGGCACTATTGCGAGAAAATTACTCATCAAGCCACACCCTTAGTTACTGTATCATCTGTCATTAAGGAGCTCTAGGTTCATGAGTCAACTTACTGGGAGAGAAGGGGTTGCCATACTTTCTTTTTTGATCAACAAGGTTGTTCGAAGTAATACATGAACTACTGAATGTAATAAAGTACCAACTATATGAGTTGATGCTCTACTAGAGAAAGGAAAGGGGGAGCAGATAAAAGTTGGTACAAGTACAATTACTAGATCACAGGTATAAGAGAGAGAGCTCACTGCACATGTCTGAATAACACACAATACCCTAATCAGATACCCCAAGAAAGTTAATGGTGCCTGTATACTTTTTAATGGTGTTTAATACCTCACAATAGTCTTCCTGAAGTGCTTCTTTAAGTCATATCAGTCTAATATTTTCCCTTTCTCTTTCCCAAGTAAAATGTAGTCCACAAAAGTTACTCAACTCTTTTGGAAATAAACACCATGGTTCCTAGAGTGAAAGATCCCATGGGAGAAAAGGTCTGTTTTGCTCTGCTGTGAGCAATCTGCTTGAGCTCTATGATCTGGGAAACTAAGCTTTAGACTGGGAAGCTTGCAGACCAAGTGGATTATCAAAGCTATAGAGCAATTTCCAAGCAAAGCAATTTCCAGTCTGTAAAGTATGCAAGTCTTTTCCTAGTCCCCTGCTCAGTTCTCCTGGTAACAATTTTGCCATCCTGAGCAAAGTTGCATGCCCTCGAATTTCCCACCTTTATCAGGATAGTGTCTCAGCTTCACATATGTCAAAAATGTTGATTTGAGTCAGTCAAAATATTTTGTTTAAACTGTTTTACAGCTTCATTACTGCAAATTACCAAAAACACAAAATTGTGCCAAAAATTTAGAACCAGATGTCCTAACGATTTTGAGTCCTTAACTTGGCCTCCTGCTTCCCCTGCTGTTTCCTACTCCCTCCTCCTTCCAACTTTCAAGTTCAGAAAGTGTGTATCCCTTGTTAAAACGTTATCAGGATTCCCAACTTACTTTTTACAATTAAGACTTTCTATATTCATTTGTTTGGTCTAATCACTAGATGATTTTCCTTACTACTTAAAAATTGAACCATTTATAAACAAAACAAAGAAAGGAAGATGCAGTTCCATAAGTTTTTTTTTTTTCCTGGAAAAAAATGTTCCCTAAACTGAACAACCTAGCAGTCTCAATGCTGTAATCCGCAATACTATGAGTCAAGAACTATAGTTTCAGCTTTACTTAAAATTATGAGTTGAAATACACATGGATTTGCATTTCTATTCTATGTCTTGTCTGTGCTTGATCACAGGTTTAACCTCAGATGCTTGAGTTGACAGTTCGTTAGAGCACAACTGTAACCTTGAAAAATGCTCAAAGGTAGCAGCAGAAAGCATACTACAACTAATTAAGCCCATCGCAGTCAAAGATTTTCACAGGTCTTATTGGGCATTTACACAGCAGTTCTGAATTCACAGGAAGAGTAGTACTGGATGTCCCTTACCTTACAAGTTTATGTATCTTCAGCTTTATGTACCTTATGAGCTATAGGCAAATATACAACCACTAATCGATCAATGACCAGCATTAACTGTTGCATTTTCTGGGAAATGTGGTAGATATAATTGATCATTCTTGAAAAGAGCAAGCACAACAAACTCATGTTTATTTTCAGCCTCTCTGAAAGCAGAAGTGCTGGAAATTCACAGCACTGGATACTCAAGTACCTCTCACAGAGCCTTCCTTAAACAACAGCCTTGCACATCAGAGGCTGGTCCATCAGCAGTGACTAACAGCAGCTTCGCTAAGTGGCAATATTACTGGAATAGTGACTTTGTGCAATTGTGCTCTATTTCCCAGTTGAAATCATCAGCACTTGCACTTGGCTCTTGCTGCTGGCTGGCTGATCAGACAGAGCAGCTCAGTATCCAGAAATTTTAGATGTTTTCTATCAATTGCCAACAGCTTTCTTGGCTTATATAGCAAGACCTATTTGGTCTCCTCTTTCATCCCAGGATATTTCTTTCATTAAGCTAAAAGTAACATTTCCAGGGAATGTGGTGTCCTGAAATGCCAAAGCCAACTGGCAGCTTTGATAGCTCTAACGTCTACATGGGTTCTACTTAGGTAGATATTACAATAACTTGTACAAATCATGAAAATGGTTACGAAACTCTAAGTTTCTGTGGCATCTACGTATTAAGGCAGTATAAATGCTTGCCATTTCTGAAGGGTATTTCTTCAGAACTTTTACAGTTGTTTAAAAAGAAGTTTATTCACTGGTAGGTACTTATTCAACTCTGCTAGCAAAGGCACTTGGAAAGACATCTCTGAAACTAACATACCTCAAGTTATTACATTTCTAAAATAAAGCAACAAAGCAAACTCAAAATGAAGGGTAGAAAGAATCAGTTCTCTAGCTTTATTTAAGCTCAAAAGAATATTCCATTTTACATGTGCATGTAAGAATGGCAAATTCTTCTAGGAAATTCTGTGGAATACCTTAAAACTTTGAGAGCAAGACCTTGTTCCCTTTACTGAAGTAGATTTCAATCAAGGTAGCCAGCGCTTAATATCATCGTCTCTTCATGAACTGCAACATAAAGCTGGGTTTAAGCGTACTATGAATTTCCATATGCTGACCCCATAGGACAGCATCAGACGGGCTTCTCTGGTAACAACTGAGCTTCAGTTTAACATGTCCTTGCTTCTGCTGGCACAACTGAGCAGGCATCTATTCCCTCTCCTGGGCGTTTGAAAAATAATCTGGTCAAAAAAAGTTCTAAAATGCTTTAAATGCTTTACTAAAGTAATATTTACTAAAGTAAATGTTTTAAATAGTTTTTAGCAAACTATAGTATTCTAAAATAATATAGTAGTCCCAAAATACCTTCTAAAATACTTAGTTCTAATACTTTTAGAACTAAAAATATTTTAGTTCTAAAATACTTTACCCAGGCTTCCTTTAACACCTTTAATCACTGTCTTCCAAAAAAAAAAAAAAAAAAA